TTTTTATTACAAATATTAATGATATTCTTTATTTCAGGGGTTTAGATGCATATTTATGCACTTTTTTACAATTTTTACAATTTTATATTATATTTTTCAGTGTTAAGTGGTTGTATTTGGGGGCCTGGAACAGATTAATCCTATAACGAACGAATGCTATAACGAACAAGGTTCTAGAACCAATTAGATTCGTTATAGCATACCCCACTGTACCACAAAATTGGAGAAATAGTAAGCAAAAATCGCGTTATAGCAAACAAGCGTTCGCGTTATACAAATATCGTTCCTAATTCATAAATCGCGTTAGAGCAAATTCGCGTTATCAAAACACGCGTTATAGCAGAACTCACTGTACCTGAAGGAGTTGCTTGATTTCGTTCATTTTTTCCACAAATGTTCTTATCATGATAGGAAGTATTTCAAAAGAGGTGACATTTACTAGAACATAATGGAACCTGACTTAACCAACCAAATAAAGCTAACTAACCTTACCATCGACTGGAGAAATGAATCCACGCCAAATGATCAAAATAATCCCGCTACCCTTTTTGTAGAAACTCTTGAGAGAAAACTTTTTATTCCAACATGTTAAAAATCCGACTCACTACAGGGGGAGCAAACACCTAAACTGGTGGACCTCATCATAACTAACAAGAAAGGTATGGTGCCCAATCTGGAACACCTAGCCCCATTGACACCAGTTACCACATAATGTTGTCCTTCAAATTTAACTGTTACTTGGTTCATGACAAAAGCAGGTCTAGGTTCAAATATTACAAAGGAAATTATGACGGGATGAGGGACAAGATGAGGGGTTTTCACTGGCCTGACTCACTAAGATATAAGAATGCAGACACTATGCTGAATATCATAGCCAGTCAAAGTTAACCATTAGATCGATAAACATATACCCAAGATCAAACCCAATGCCTCCAGGAATACAAGGAGACCGTTATGCAACCATGCGGCGGTCGACAATGTTAAGAAGAAAACTCAGGATTTCGAGATGTGGGTTAGGATAAATGATAAGTAGGATAGTAGGATGTATGCCCGACCCAGGAACCAAGCCAAGTCAGATTGTAAAAGGGCCAAAAAAGGAATTCCAGAGGAATATTGCGAGAGGCATTGAAAAAATTATTTTCCTCAGTGTTCACTACAGAGGATGTGAACATTCTTACTGCATTTGAGGAAAGACGGTTTGACACAGCAATGACCCACATTGTGTTCTCAGAAGAGGGTATAAGAAATAAATTGTCAAAGATAAAGATTAATAAGTGTCCTAGCCCTGATGTGATGCACCCCAGTGTTAAAGAGAACTGTGCAATGACCTTGCAGAGCCTCTTAAAATCCTGTTCTGTAAATGCCTGGACGAGCAAAAGGTCCCGGATGATTGGAAAATGGCTTATGTGAGTCCTATATTAAAGAAGGGCAATCATCACTCCACGAATAATCATTATAGACCAGTGAGCCTGACCAGCATAGTGTGTTAAGTATGAGAGAGCATTATAAGAGATGCCATGATGGAACATCTACTATGAAACAACCTTGTAAAGGAGTCAACACGGTTTTATGACAGGACACTCCTGTTTAACACAAATACTCAAGGTCCTGGATGTTTGGACTCAAATTCTAGAACAAGGCTTTCGAAAGAATACCCCCATGAAAGGCTGAGAATTGAATAGGAAAGGCATGGGATTCGGGGAAATGTCCTCCTAGCATGTATCCGACACTTTCTTCATGATCGCAAGCTGTGTGGTGATTAATGGTATGAAATCGTCATGTGTACCTGTGACAAGCGGGGTACCACAGGGCAGTGTATTGGGCCCGTTGTTTGTTTGTTTCATAAATGACATGCCAGAAGTTATACACATTCCTCCATACAAATGTTGTGTGAATGATGCAAAGTTATTCAGGGAAATTAAGAACCAAACAAACTGTGAAAAGCTACACAAAGATATCTGCAAGTTTCAAGAATGGTAGAAGAAATGACTGCAAAGATTCATTGTCACTAAGTTCAAGAGGCTGCACCTAGGTCACACCAACAGTAAGTAGGCATATCACATGTCCCAACAGGACGAAAACACTGCATTGAGACCGAATGTGAAAAGGACCTGGGTGTGTTTGTCAACAAGGAACTTAAGTTCTCAGAACACTATGAGAAGGTGAATTAAGCAATGAAACTAGTACGTCTGAAAGAAGGTTGTTCAGATATCTAGATGGTCCATCCCTCGTAACGATCTTCAAGAGTGAAGTGCTAACCCCATCTGGAGTACTGTCGCCCTGTCTGGTCCCCAAGATATTCTAGACTGTCAATTGGTTGAAAATGTCCAAAGTAAGGCCAGGAGACTGGTGCCTGCTCTAAGGACCCTCAGCTACCCAGGGAGATTAGAATGCCTGCAACTGCCTAGCTTATACTACAAACAGGCAAGCGGCGACCTAATTGATGTGTATAAACATATTAAGGGCAGTACTGTACTTAGTCGAGTGTTCCTACCTGGAGCTGGCAGACGCTCGCCCTACAAGGGGTCACAGCTCAGGGTTGAAGAAGCCACAAGTCCAGAAAACAGTGAAGGCACCGAGTGTGAGCTCTTTCAAGGCACTTACTTATTGTCGGGTGTATCTACAGATCCCTAAACTGTGACCCACTAAATCAAAGGAACTTAAGACCCATAATAGACAATGCGGCAATGCTCAACCCTAGCCACCTCCTTATCATGGGGGGACTTTAACTTTGGCGACATCGACTGGAGAAACAAGTTCACCCCAAATGACTTGAATAACCGAGCTACTCTTTTTGTAGAAACTCTTGAGATAATTTTCTGTTCCAACACAATACAATATGTATACATTGTGAGCTTCCTTTCTCCATCCCATCCTGAGTGTGAACCAATATCTCATAATTCTACAAATGGTGACCCCGGAGTGACCAGAACACCCAGTGCCACAAACTCACTGAATAACAGCTAGATAAGAGAGAGAGAGCACTTTTTTGCACTCCATCACGATCCTTCAAAATGGCTATTTCAGGCTTCATAATGGCTGCTTCAGAATGATTGGCCAGCCATGTCACATGACACAATACTTGAAGATCATTGGTTGTCATGTCGCAATGAGGAGGAGAGAACGAGAAAAGTGAGGAGACGAGAGAAATGACTGGGGCAACACAGCGGGTACAGAAATTTACGCCTAGAAATTTGTGAAATACTCTGTTAATATTGATTTACAATAGAAATGATATCGAAGTTTTATGTTTGGTTTTTCAGTCTTGTGTCTGTAATGTTGAAAATTGGAAACCTGCGGACAGCCAATGGACGAATATTAACCCAGCTGACTACAAGTACTGAAATCAATAATTCAATGACATTTCATATTGAAAATCACATGAATCAGTGGTTATTTGTCTGCTCACGAACCTTAACTTGATATTAAGGCGCATTACACTGATCCTAGATTACTCAATACGGTCATTTGCAAACCAAACCAACTTTACAACTAACAAACCAACCACCTAATATATCTTAACCTTGGGTATTATTATCGTTTCAGTCATCCAGCGAATTTTAGTAGGTTAGGATAGGTTAGGTTGCATTTCAGAAGCAGTGCTGTGACCCATTTTTTACAGGTTAGGTAAGGTTCAGGTTAGGTTAGATTAGGTTCAGTTCCAAATAGGTGGATGACTGAAACGATAATTTTACCTAACCATGTTTGCAAGTGATTAAATTAAGTAATCTAGGTCATCAGTCTCGAGCAATCTATGCATTAAAATAAACACATTAAAGGACATTGTCAACACACATAAATATATAATGGCAGAGATAAACTATATAATGGCAGACATAAACTGAACATTTACCAAAATCTAGAAAGGTGGAGAAAAGGGGGGAAGATATATATATATTATTTATTCAGTTTAATGCCTTAATCAACCGGTGGCGGCAGACATACTGGCCCAGACGTGACTACAACGCTTTAAATTCCTTTTTAAGTCCCATACCTGAAGACAAGTGGTATAGATGGTCCAAACATGACAGCAAGACAAAGTACCAACATGAAACCATAAATCCTGATATATATTCTTTTATCATATGCTCTTAACTAAACAGTATTAACGGACCTACTCAAATACCTATCGGGACGCCATACCAAGGCCAAACCTTTACCCCCAGTTGATCACAAAGGAACCAAAAACATCTACTGTCTACACCACATACTACAAAAAAACATATAATTACCTAAAGTTTGCAGGTATTTCGTTGGATGAAAGGAATTGTTATTAAAAAATGCCTTAATGAGATTCCCCACAGGAGACACCACGTTGTCAGGGGACGTTCGCGCCACCACCTCTAATACGTCATTAAGATAACCACATGGTTCTATATGTCCGTTATTCTCTATATTACTTTGTATAAAAAAATATCAAATCATAATCCAAGAGTTTATTTATATATAATTTTATATAATTCATTATATTTAATTTATTTATACTCATTAAAGTAAAATAATAATATAATTATTTAGGTAATGGATAAAATATTCAAATTGACTTCTTATAATTAACATTATTTTAATTTAGATGAAGGATGGGGAGTATTTTAGAACTGGTAAGTCCTAGCTGAATCTGCAAATATTGTGCAAATAAAACACTTTATCAGCCGGCATTTTGACACAGTTCTTTACTTCTTACTTTTAATTTTATCCTCTTAGCCACTGATCGGCTCGTTAGCCGCTTGGGCGCTTAGTCACGTCTGTTACGCATTGCTGTCAAGTTTTGTGCATGAACTGGCTCCTGAATGTACCTGAACCTGCTCCAGTGTTGGTCAAGTCTGGTCTTGAAAGAGCTCACACTCTGTGCTGTCACTAAACTCTGGCAGATTGTCCCAAGAGTTCACAATTCTCATTCCGATAAAGTTTCCCCTCAGTTTTCTGGACTTGTAGCTTCTTCAACCTCGAGCTGTGACCTCTTGTGTTTATACACTTCAATTAGGTCACCCCTTGTCCGTCTGTAGTATAAACAAATGACACTTTTTTTTTCGTTTCACCGGTGTCTTTTCACTCCCATTTCTAAATGAGAACATACCCTCTCAACCTCAAACGGTCAAACCTTACCAAATCTAACATCCTATAACATTTCTGGTCCTATACTGCTCTTCCCATAATATACAGTTTTTCTTTCTCTTAGTAATATACTGTAATTCTACCCTACACGTTCCCAGGCATATTACTCACATTTCACCCTTCATACTAGGGAACTATGCTTGCCCTCTATACCATTCTCATAGGTTGTACACGTTTGACATTCATTATATCACTTTTCCATCACCCATCCCTTATTTTTCACCGGTGATTCAGTCCACTCTAGGCGCTTTACCATTCATGAGCTTACTTAAGGCAGGTCTTATACCTCCTTCACTTATTACTTTTCCTGTTTTGCTTTGACATTATTCGGTTCACTATACTGTACCCTAAAAGGATACTCCTGCCTCCCACTTACATGTTTCAGTTTGCAGTTACTCGAATTACTTAGCCCTTCATCTTTTTTTTACTATTATAAACTCTATGTCTTATCTCATTTAGTTCTTGGAAGGATGTTTCAAGTTTTTCTTTTTCAAAATAATAATTTTGAAAGCACATTGCGACGACCGGCTCACACGATTCTCTTCACAACACTGTGTATTATTAATAATCTAAAGTACTGTATGTATTTTTCTTTATGTGAGAAGGAATTATGAAATAATTAATTCGTAATACTTGCCTGGATAGGGTACTAAAAGATTTTTTGCACTGTTTATTCTCCTTCTACAAATCAAATCTGAAACAAAATGTTTATGTTGCGCACAGTATAATTGCAACTGTACTCGAGGAAAGTTTTAAAACTTTGAACCCTTTGTATGAGGGAAACACAGTATTAAAGATACTCTTCTCCTCTAAAATACTGTCTTTACTTATAAATCTAAGTACATTTTATCTTAAGAGTCATTTATGATCTTAATATCACAAGAGGCATGGCTTACTTCCTAGTGTTGTCACCGGGTTGCAGTAACTGGTAATGTTTTTCTTTTATATATCATTCTACCAACGATAACACGAGGAGGTTTTAATTTCATATCCTCTCGCGAAATGTCATTTATCTTGTAGGTGTGGTGGTGAAAACGTGGTGGCATCAACGATAGGTTCGGCGAGGAGTACCACTGGCTGTCTCTCCGCTGGCTAATGGTAAGCGGAGGGGAAATATGCGTCATCGAAGAGGCAGAGAGGTCAAAGTGAACGTCCTCCAAGAGGTGTTGGCAGGAAGTGGAGACCCGGTAAAAGCCACAGGGACGATGGGTGGAAGGGTCGGGGGCGGGATGTACTCGTTACGATAGTGACCATGGACCGGGTACCTGGGGAAGGTGGTGACGATGGGCACGAAGGGAGGCTTCACGCGGTCCTTGAACAACCACGGCGACACAGCAAACCCTGAAGATACAAATACTGATAAATTCAAGATGGAAAAGCGAGTGATAACATTATTATTTGCATTTCCAGCCAAGAGCACAGTAAGACGAAGACTGCCTGTGAGAGGGGAGCACCACACACACACAGTCAACAATAACAGAACTTGCTCTTTGCTGTACCATAAACAAGTGGCAGAAAGAGGAAGTGCGTGGAAGCTATCCCTCGAAATGACTTCTAAATATGTGTAAAATATTCAAGTAAATTGGGATAATAATATATATACTCAAACCACCTAAACATTTGTACTTGTTTAAATGTCAGTTCAGAGGTTCAAGTTGTATTTGGATGTTACTTTGTGTGCCCATAGAAACACAGTGCAGGTATAATCGTCTTTTTAACACACACACACACACACACACACACACACACACACACACACTTTCTAAAATAGCTTCGTGGCACTTTTGGAACCATGAAATAACCCATTAGTGTAATTCGTGTGGCTCACAGAAAGCTAATTTAATTACTAGTTACTCAACAGCAGGTTGGTGGTTGGCAACAAGGTGAGATGCGCTCTAGTTTGTTTAAAGGACACATACGTCACAGTAACCCCTTCATCACAAACTAGTGGTATATGACATCTTATGTTTTATGAATCTGTGGCATTTCTTGGTGTTTGACCACTCGGTTTGGTGGTGAGTTTCCCGCAGCTTGCTTACCTACATCCTTGCCCAAGAAGATCTTCCTCCAAATGTCCCGTTTCTTGGCTGCTAAGGCCAGTACCTGGAATTATGAGGCTGTAAAAGTATTTGTCGCATGAAGAGGCTTCTTAACGTGATGGAATGACATTTTCGTATTCAACAGACACGGACTAGTTAATGAGGTCATCAACCATAATCCTTAACACCCACTGAACAGTCATTGTAGTGATGAACACCATGAGTGGCTTACCGAGTGACGCACCTAGCACCTACTCTCTCCCTTCTTGCGGCCCTGACGGAGTACAGTACTCCTGACATCTCAGTTTATGGTTATCGATGTTTTGTCCCTATAAGTAACAGTAACGCAGGCACTTATCATTACCTTGAAATAGCCGTCAAGGGTGAAGGCATATGTGGGTTTGGGTATGGCAGCCCAGCCCAGGGTAACCACAGTTACCATGCACCACCACGTCCTCACCTGCATCCTCATGAGGCCGTGTACACTCCCGCTACTGGCGTCTGTTGGTACTGTCACTTGTTATTAACAATTCATATACATAATGGTTAGGTATACATAATGGAATACAGATATGTAGAAGTATTCTTCGGGTTATAACATGTGACAATGAGGTTCACCTTATGAGTCGGAGTTTAGTTTAGGCGAGGAGGGAAAGGCCGCTCGTGGCGGCGTGCTGAGACCCGACCAACGCACCTACTGCACCACAACCTCTCATGATGCAGTGCTGCCTCTCTGGCCGTCACCTCCAGCTTCTGTTCACACTGTCTCCTGTATGCCTTCACCTTAAAGCAACAGGAATATTACAAACATCAGTGCAAAATCGTAGTGTTACCCTATTTTCAGATTTAGTTTTTTAGGGAGGTGGTTGCCTCTGATAATTTATTTTAGGGGTAACGTCCTCCATCCCTACACTAACGCTGCCCATGATGGAGACGCCCAGTGTGTGCAGATTCACTATTTTTATCTGAATTTTAAAATTGATAAACGTACTGAGATTCCCCATATATGAGGAAACAATAGTTAAAAAAAATCAACAAGCTTGGCTATCCTAAAAGGCATTCTATTACCGCCCAAAGAAAGTTTTCTTCTCTTTTTGTGTGTTTCTAAAGGACTGAGTGGGCGTATAAAATCCGTTATGCATAGCAAAATGCAGTGGACATAGAGATAGCACATAGATACCGACAAATCGCCGAAGTGAACTGAAAAAAAGACAATTCTAAAGGCAACAGGGGAGATTAAAACCAGCAGAGGGCAGCTAACAACTTTTTTTCTCTTTATTTTTAAATGTGTGTAGATCTATACACAGTCTGCACCCCCCCCTACAACAACAACAACAATTAAGGGTATGATATGTGATTACCGCAGGGGGGCGACGGATGTAGATGGTACAGGCCTGACCAATGCAGTGTTTAGGACGATGCAAGTGTCCCGTAAAGCATAAAGGCTGTTGCTGGTATTGCCTTGACTGTATAGTCAAGGTAAAAGAGGCGATTGCAAACCATAGGGGAACGAGTTCCCTAAGGACGAAAATAGATAAAGCTGGATCCTTGCTGGGTGCCAAACTAGAACAAGTTGGGAATGAGCTCCAAGAATGGTCGAAGAAATGACTGCTGAGATTCAATGTCACGAAGTGTAAGAGGATGCACCTGGGGCGTACCAACGGTTAGGAGGAGTATCATATGTCCCAACGGGATAAAGAAATTGCAATATTTGAGACTGAATGTGAGAAGGACCTAGGTGTGAATGTTGACAATGAGCTGAAGTTCTCGGGCCATTCCGAGAAGAAGGTAAATCAGGCAAATACATTATTGGGTCTTATAAGAAGGTCGTTCAGATATCTAGACGGACCGTGTAGATATCTGAACGATCTTCAAGAGTGAAGTGCTTCCCCGCCTGGTCCCCGAGATATGCTAGGGACTGTCAGTTGGTTGAAAATTTTCAAAGCAGGGCCACCAGACTGGTGCTTGCACTTCGGCACCTCAGCTACCCTGAGAGATTGGAGCGCCTGAACTTGCCTAGTTTATACTACAGACGGGCAAGGGGCGACCTAATTGAGGTGTATAAGCATCTTAAGGGGCACTACTTAGTCGAGTGTCCTTACTTGGAGCTGGCGGACGCTCGCCCCACAAGGGGTCACAGCTCAAGATTGAAGAAGCCGCAGGTCCAGAAAACTGAGGGTAAACTTTTTCGGAGTGAAAGATGTAAACTCTTGGAACAATCTACCAGAGAGTGTTGTGACGGCACCGAGTGTGAGCTCTTTCGAGACAAGACTTGACCAACACTAGAGCAGGTTCAGGTACATTCAGGAGCCGGTGAATGCCCAGTACTTGCCAACAGTGCGTAACAGAGACGTGACCGATCGCCCAAGCGGCTAACGAGCTGATCAGTGGTGAAGAGGATCAAAGTAAATAAAATCAGAATACTTCCCGGTGGCGTTTATTGAGTGTTAATAACTAAAGGTCATTTACAGACTAGATAGAGTATTATAGGCGTTTTAGATGCACGGAATAGCTAACGCATTAGCTATTCCGTGCACCTAAAACGCCTTACAATAAACGCCTTACAATAAACGCCTTATATGTAATATTAAAGTATATTTACCATCACACATTGTACCATCTGCTGGTCAGGTGTAACGCTCAGTCAGGTTAGATGGTGCTACTATAGTATGTGGTCTACTGAGCTGGAGTTGGTTGACCGGAATATTTACACTGTAGCATCGATTAACCTAACCTAGTTTAGGTTAGGTTAATGGATACTACAGTGTAAATATCCCGGTAAACACAACTCTAGCTCGGTAGACTACATACTATATAGTAGCACCTGCACGGAAGACCGCATCCAGCTCGGTAGACCGCACACGTTAGTAGCAACAGTAAGATTCTGCCCATTTTGGCCTTCAGAGACAGCATGGTATAAGTCATACTGTACACAACACGAGCCTCTACTGTAGTCTCACCGACAATGTCAGATAAAGGTTATAAGACAATGGTCTGCATATAAAGGATATTTACAGACATGTCATTATTTACAACATCCTGTGTCTCGGTTGCTTTGATAGATTTCACTTCTTTTTTTTGTTTAGTTGCCAACCAACTTTCCCCTTTGATATGGTAATTATTGTAGTAGACCTTCATATATTCTTCTCCGGGGACATGAAAGGAGTAGCATCTCCGCTCAGCATGACGGTGAGTGTATGTGCACTGTTGTGAAGGAGAAAGCGGATGCTTTAACATTTAATTACACCAGAGACCTTCACTATAACGACCAAGACAATACCTGTAGTGTAACACAGCACGCCTCAGTCATCTGTCATCTACGTAATAACTTGTTTTTGGCTAACCCAAAGAAGTCACACTCATAAATACATAACATGGAAAACGGACTCAAGGTATAGATGCTAAAGTTTCTTTTTTGTCATCATAAGTTTGTAATCGGATGAGAACTTCGACGTTTACAAATTGTCTGGCGGAACAATACTGATGGTTGGTGGAACACAGGATGAGGAACATATGTAATAACGGCGAAGAAGGAACATGTGAGGAGGGGTAGGGAGCCCTTACAAGTGTCAAGCTTCTTGAGAGATGATGGTCTTCTCGGGACTTACAGTATACTCGCCTTACACCTGGCTATTGATTAGCTTAGGCAAAGGATAAAAGTGCTGTACGCGCCGGAGACTCTGAAGTACCGGAATCTGGCTGCTCTCGGTCTGAGCAGGGTACGGAATTCGGGTAAATGTCCTAGCGTGGATAGAAGACTTTCTACATGACCGCAAGCAGTGTGTGGTGATTAATGGCACGAAATCATCATCCGTACCTGTCACAAGCGGGGTACCACAGGGCAGTGTATTGGGCCCGCTGTTGTTTGTTTGTTTCATAAATGACATGCCTGACGTTGTACACTCCTCCATACAAATGTTTGCCGATGACGCCAAGTTCTTTCGGGAAATCAAGAACCAAGCGGACTGTGAAGAGCTTGAAAAGGACCTCTGTGGGCTCCAAGAATGGTCGAAGAAATGGTTGCTGAGATTCAATGTTACGAAGTGTAAGAGGATGCACCTGGGGCGTACCAACGGTAAGGAGGCGTATCATATGTCCCAACGGGATGAAGAAACTGCACTATTTGAGACTGAATGTGAGAAGTCCTGCTGACTGCGGGGCCAAACAACACGCGACGGGAAGTTGTAAACACTATTATAAGTGTCTGTGGTATTAGGAGGAGATGATTTTCTTTTATGAACAAAACTGAATCAGTCTTCTATCACTTACCACTTTGATTTTAATTAAAATTTTATTGGATAAAAAAATAATCTTAAGTAAACAGGACCTGAGAAATTAAGAGTGGGTTTAGGACTGGATAAATTTTCATCGCCAAATCTTGCGTGTGAGGCGTATGTATGTATCTGGGCCTGAGGCACAGATCAACTTGGGGCCCCCTACCATCAAGGTATACAGTATATACTGTATATAGCAAGAACAAAATATACCAAAATTTATCAATGATTTCATCAATATTAAGCTTGTGCAAAATAATACATTCAATGTTCACAAGAGACAGAAGATTGAGACGTTGCTAGGACATTGTTGAACGAGTTCATGTTTTATACGCTTCAACTTTGAGAATGTTTGGATTTGGGGGCCCCTTAGAGTCAGGGGGCCTGAGGGCAGTGCCTCATGGTTAATCCGACACTGAATCTACTGTATGTGGACGTAAACGCACAATACACAGTAAGGGCAGATATAAATTAAGTATATATTCAAATGTTCTCTAGATGAATTTACTCATTCATATATAATTTTGTAAAGCTGATTCAGTACTCTTACCTGAGTTAACTCGCTGAATTCCTAACTTGGTCTTGTTTTTCTGCCCTGATCTGCCACTCGCCAAGATAACACTGAAAAAAAAAACACTGAAGATATATTTCCAACTTCACAACCTATGAAATGTTATGTTCCATAATTAGATATATTAGTTAGCGACATTACATGTGATGATGGTATGAATTATCTTTTTACATCACTTTCGTACAAGTAAACTTCTATATCACAATTTCGTAATACACCAATCAACACTTCTGATTTGTCTTCATAAGAGTATGGTTTTCTTCTTTTGTAAAGCGAACTTAAAACATTGGAGGGTATGAGTTTTAGCAAGTTTGAGCATGTGAGAGTATGGTAACCCAAGACCTGCGCCGCCGTCTTCCCTTAGCAGACTGAGGCGTGCGGGCTGGTGGAGGGTCCCAGGTGAAGGTAGCCGCTGTCACAGGTTACATAGGTAGTCACTGGTGGAACCTCGCCTACATTGTCACACATCATCCTCACCGCCGAGGGCTGTACCCACTTACCATTTTGTCGGGAATGTAGCTTTATCTGATATCCTAATCCATATTTTCCTGGACTACGAACATGGCGGTTGCTGTAGGATATGGGAGGTGATATTGAAGAGCCAGGTCAAGGAGAGGGCATGGAATGAAGTTTCTGATTATGTAATGATTATATATATATACAGTATATAATATCTAGCTTCCTGAGGATGAAGTTACTTGAAATTCTCGGCAGTCTTGACCACATCTCAACTTCGCCGAAACTAAGGTGAATGTAACCAAGCTTTGCTTAATTTATTGAGAGAGACTTCAGAACCTATGGATGATAAATTGCGAGAAGCTAAGATGGTATTGTCGTCGTGATCATAAATGAGGCACCCACTGCTATATCTTCAATTCATATATTTCTGAATTCCCAAAACGAAACTGTGGGATTGATTTGAAACACGAGAATAACAATTACAAAAAAAAAGAGTTATTGCTGCGTGAGATATACTGTATTTCAGTCATCTACGATCTACTGTACTTTCCGTCAACTTTACACCCATCTGTAATATTTTGACGTAGTTAATCTTGACCTTAAGCTGTGCTCTTGACCTATCTCTACATAAATTATTAGATTAATAAACTAACACTTAAACTACCGAAGAAGTTTAATCAAAGTTAGTTTATTAAGCACGTCTCAGAAAAAAGCTTTGTTACCACACTAAATCTAATAAAGTCTTACCTAATGTACGACAATCAAAGCAAACTTATCCTTGGTAGCTACAACTTGGCCTTAAAAGAAGCTGCTGTTAACTTAAAAAATAGTAGCACCAGTAAAGAGAAGGGTTGAATATAATTTATCACAATTAAACTGCACTAGAGGAGGAGGTGTCAGCACACGCCAGGCTCCGATGCTACTAACGTTGGGCACCTCTTGTACCACGTGGTTGTCAAAAGTATTACAGGGCGCCGAGCTACGTTGAACTTTGAGCTTTTGGCCCTAAAAATATAGCACTAAGAATGTTATCCTTTATGACTCCAAACCCCATAAAACAAACACATTAAATGTATCTTACTTTGACAAAGGTACTGCAACACAACAACATCTGGTGATACTCTGCACACCTCGCTAATTGACCCCTTAGATTAAACAGTGATGTAGACATACAAATGTCATAGGTTATATTATCAACAACCTGCACCTAAATATTACCCTTTTGAGATATAGTCAATCAACTTTTCAGTCAGTTGTTGCGATAGATTAGGGTCACTAATTACCTCCCATAACATGAAACTTGAATGTATTTTCATTGCATATCTCAAATTTACGTGCAGTCAAGCACTAACGTTACACTCCTTTAAATATTTCAACTCTGCCAACCTGCAGTGAAGAGTGATGAGTCCCCGTTGACAACATCCCTCAGGTTTGTATTAGGAGGGAGGATAATCCGCCAGCTTTCGTGTTTTCCCCCAGCACGTGGGTCTCCTCCGCCCGCCACCACTCGGCCTACACACCACTGTAAGCTTATCTCGAGGTCGCGCGTGGTTGGGCAGAAGAGATGAGAGATGGATTACATCTGGGAAGGTTGGAAACAAATAAGTGACGCACTCTGACAAACAGAAATACCGTGTTATATAAACAACAGTGAAAAGACTCAGCGCACTGACTTTTTGACTGTTTTAATCTCAGGGGACAGGGGACTAAAGTACAAAGTAGAAGATCAATTAGAACTACGAAGAGAAAATAAAAGATGTAAGTGGTGACGTGACCAGCGAGGTGCCGGGTCCTACATCAGGGAGGATGTATTTGTTAACTTCCCCCTCAAAAGACAGATAATTATCGTGACTACATTATCTTCCACAATACAAGTGGTGGGAATGATGTCTGTGGGATCTATTGTTTTATAAGAAGGTTTGCGTGATTGGACAAATCACAACTGAACCTTCAGTTGTTTAATGCAAATTAAATAAAGACTACTGTCTAAAATGTTCATGAAAGAAACACCCTACGACCCTGATGCCATCGTCCAAAATGGCATTAATTAGATGAAAAAAAAAAACAGTGGTAAGTGTTAACCTTTGAGACACGACTAAACTATGGACTTGGCTGAACATATTATCCTTTACCTGTAACATTATTGTGTATTGGATCACTGACGGAAAATCGCAACTTTTCAGCAAGATTCATTACAAAACTGACCCTTTTTATCAATATATTACCGACTACAATAAACTCAAAGACAACCGAGATGTATTCTTCTACAGCTTGGGAGGGCAGACCAGAACTTTTCCATGATGGTGAGAGGTGAGAAAGTAGAGGGAGGGAGATGGAAAAGAGTGGGAGGAGGCGAGGTGGAAGACGTAGGAGGAAAGGGCTGGAAGGAAGATAAAAGGAATGTAGGAAGAGAGAGAGGGCATAATCAGAAAGTGGTGAACGAAAGGAAAGAACGGGAGAGTGCGATTAAGGAAAAAGGAGAAGAAAAATAGGAGACAAGGAGACTAGGATGGACGGGAAATTTATAAGACAAAGGAGGAAAGAGGAAGAAGGTAAGCGATGAGAGATGATTATGAATCTGGAAATAAAAGAAATGAATTGGATAGAGGGAAGAGGGGCGGGCAGGAAAAAAAGGTATACGAAGGAAAGGAGAAGGATAATCGAGGAAAGTATGAGAGATAGAACAAAAAGAGAGGGGGATACATGCAATAAATAGCACAGTGCAGTATACTATTCGGGATCAGTTGCCTCTATTCACGATGGGATTCACAAATTAATTTCACGAAAACTATTTTACGTTTACAGCATTTTCTTCTATTTTAGCTGTTGTGTTTGTAAGGGTATTTTCAAGTCTTTCATTTTAATAGTCTGTACGAGTGTCTGGCTGTTTGAGGTGTGTCCGTTAACTCCAGCCACACGTGAACCACCCACGGAGGAACCAACGTCTCTTGTATATAAGCAATGCCGCCAACACCTTTACCGGAAGTCTACCTGGCGGAGGACAGATGGGCCTCCCGCTCCGGCATCTCACTTTCACTTATCTCTGTTGTGTCAGCCTGGCCTGGTGCTGTAATACACTTTGGCCGTCATAACCTGGTGCTGCTTTTCAGATAGACACAACCAAGCGTGGGTAATCAGAAAGCAATATCTCGTGAGGGAAGAAGATATGTATCGGGGGAAGTCATTAGCCTTATAGAGTCAAGTAAATTGTAGACACCACGTCACTCTTGACTCAGTTTCTGTAGACAGAGATCAAAGGACGAGAAAATAAGTAATGCTAACACTCGCGTAATTATCAAGTGATACATACGTCTTCTGATTCACTCTCCTCTGCAAGTATCAACTGCAATTATAATAACACAAAGCGGCAGTTGTAAATAATAATATTATCGCTGGTGTGACCCGGATTCATGGTGTCTAGGTATGTTGAAAGGGTAAGACAACGACTCCGAGACATCAAGTAATGGCGTCCGGTGGTAATGCCTTGTGGCTGTCTGCCGTCGTCGCCTGGAGGAAGGAGGGGGTGAATGTGGGAAGGGGGTAAGAGGAATGGTACGGGGAGGGAGAGGACCCAGGGAATGGAGTATAAGGAGGGTTAAGGGTCACTGGGGAGAAAAGGCTTAATGTATGTGAGGACGTGGGCGGGGGAAGGTTACAACAGGGTGTGAGCCGGGTAGGGGTAAGGGACGAAGGGGGTGAGGGAAAAGGGTTAGTCACTTGGCTCACCAGGCCACATTCCTCCATTCTCCTTTATGCCCGTGTGTGGTGATCGAGGCCATGTTCTACTTTATCGCCCAAGATACAGGAATCAACTGGTTTAGAAGCACGGTGCTATCATTCAAGGTTAAGCACTGAAGGTGGTCTGACATCTTCCGTCGAAGCCAATGTGCTGATTCAGTGGTGCTGAGATATCAGTTTATGCGGGTTTAGTTTTGAATTGTAGGCACAGAAATTTCCATGTAATGAGTGTGAAGATGATATTCTGACCTAGATATGAACAAATATGTGCCTAGAATCTCTCTTCTGACCTTGGCCATACACACTGATAATAAGATAAGCATATTCAAATATCAAATGTTGAATCATCCAATTGATTACAGTAATTGAATTTGCTTTAATAGGTTTTGATCTCTGACTAATATTTGTGAATCCGTCCACTTAACATACGTTAACCGTTCATTAAAACATAGGATCATGCACCAACCTATCTTGTTTACACATGATAAACTGTTCCATAAGCTTATAAGAAACACGGCTGGTCATACATCAACCTTGCTAACATATTTATAGCAACCAAAATTTGCCCAGTTAGGAAGTTTATCATCAAAAGTTCCCAACTTAGCAAGCCTGTTAGTAAGTTTGATGTAGCCCTGTTTCATACGCTTATAGTAAAGTTCTTCAGATAGATGTTTAAATGTTTTATTGCTACCCATTAATATGCTTGTATAATATTTGCTAAATTATGTAAGTATTAAAACATATATTAAATATCTCTAGTTAAATTCTCCACCCCTGTGATGTGTCTCTTTCTCTCCCTTATGTCTCATCTTCCACTCCAACTAGACACCACACTACCCCCTCAGAAGGCCGTGTCCCACCCAAGCCCTAGGCAGTGGGCTAGACGGAGGGACACGAAAAGGAAAGTTATGTAGGCGGTGCTTAGGCAAATGAGGAAGATATTTCTGAGGCGGACCTACTAACATATGGGGGAAATCTCAGAGGTGGGGAATTTCAAGGATAAACTTTGAGGGAGTGTAGGAGGCGCGGAGGGAGAGAGAGAGAGAAAGAGTACGGATCAGGTGTCTACGTATATAGGCCTACGTGAAGTGGTAATAAAGGTAAAACGCGAGCAAAGTGTGCAGACTGCTACAACAACCAATTTTCATCAAAACGC